GAATCTTAGTAACCCTCTAAATCACCTCAGAATTTTAACCAAATTTGGAAATCCATAGGGATATTCATGCGTGCCACGAAAACAAGATCACTAGGAAAGTGCATCTAATTTGTCCTAGGTGTAGAGTTGTAAGATGTCAAAAGGAGACAGCCAATTCCAAACTATCTCTGCTTGCAACCGAACTCTCATCATCTTCAATATTGTATTCTTCATGTCAAATATTTTTTACCTCTTTATGTACGTTTTACTTCCTTATTTTCTGATAATCATTACTAAGGAGTCATTGGATTGTCCATTAGAAACACATTGGAATCTGCTGAAAGCATACAAGTGTCCATTCGTTTCCTCATGTAGTTACTTCGCTTTTAGCGAAAAAGATAATCAATTGGGAACCAAGGTCCAAGGTTGCAATCAGTTAAGAAATTTCATCTAATCAGATATATATAAATGAAAACTATCCAAAAACTTCCGTGAAAGATTAACAATTGATCAGGATACTGTTCATTGACCCAAAACAAGAAGTGTATTAACGAAATCAACCTTCAGCACTTAAATAATCTTTTCAATCCCCTCAAGAAAGGCAAACATTTCTCTCTATCCTCAGCGTCCAAAATATGCATTTGTCTATGCATACAACACCGAAGGACTGATATCAACATTGACAAAAAATAGACAATTCCAGGCTATGATGTCTCCATTAGATTCCATACATTAATAGGATATGTGATGGATAATAAATTGTGTAATATATATGCTGACGGTAAGAGCAAAGAAAGAATACGAGGCAAAGATACTCACCAATTCCATAGCCAACTGTCAACCAAAGGAAGTATCCATTTAGTATCCCCTTCTTCTTAGCTTTGTCGAATCTGCAATAAACATCCATAAATGGATTTTGTTACTCAACAACTGCTATCAAAGACCAAAAACATTCAGTGTCTCAATTAAAATATTTTATCCATATGTTTGTTTACCTATTAAATACTGACTACATAAGTATTCTTATGTTTTATAATCATATATATCAGATAACTGAACAATGTCAAAAGTGTGAAAGAATTGAAATTTTATACAGGTTAGATAGCCAAGTTCAGCATGACAACAAAGATGTAAGCGAATCAAAGATTCAGAAATATGCAACCTCCTTTAGAGGTAGATCTATAGATTTAAACCATCCACAAAGGAATTTCCTGTATAAATATTTGATATACTTGGTTATCAAACATTAGATGGTTGAGGCATTACAGGCAATACCTGAAAGCGAAAGAAACCAGCAAACCAGGGAATAGAATATCCCCGAAGCCTATCATATCATAACCACCCCACGGATCAAAAATCCTAGGAACTCTCAAAAGCATTGGGATCGATTCTCCACCACTTTTGTTGCCTGAAGCAACCTAAATAATAGGAGAAAAAACTCTTGTCAAAACTTTCATGGAATTAAATTAGACAGAACTGCAAAAGAGCAGCATCAATAACGTTCAACAAAATGATTAATCATAAAAGCAACTAATTAAAAAAAAAACCAAATTGATCCCTATTATTATAGCGCAAAAAGCGCTTCGGGGGAGTGGGCAGAGGAAAGCGTGCACATCCATGCACTGGTATGGTAATTGACATGCATGAACAACTTATTGATGCTGCAGAGTTTACAGAAAGTGGCCATCATTTTTAGGACAGAAATTTTATATTTTTGTGCTGAATTCTCACCAAGAGGAAAAGGGGGAAAAATCAACAAACAGGAAATTTTAGTCTAGACTACCTCATCCCAAAATTATGCACTCTTCAAACTTCTAACTAATGGTGATGGAAAAATATACGTCTTCAAAAGGTGTTCCACCTTGTAATGTTTAAAAGAGCGTCCTCTGCTATTGAAGAGGAGAAAAAAAATTAATCTAAGCTCTACTATTAAGCTAAGTTGACTTTCATAACCCAACTAAAGCATGGAGCAACCAAGGATAGAAAGTAAAATTCAAGAACTTTTCGAGGAAGTACAGAATAATAAAATAAAACAAGACTTGACTGTTTCATGTCCTACACATAGTCATCACACATTTCACATCTTTGCCGTGAAAAATGAGTCAATTAAGGATTTTGAATGATAATCAGTCAGGCCACCCGTATTAGTCGAAAAAGTAAGAATGACAAACCTTCAAAACCATGGGTTAAAATAGCTCTCAGATTAATTAGTTCACACACATGACACCGTGGCAAGAGAAGAAAAGGGAGGCACTAAGTCAATGAAGCTTCATTTTTATAGAAAAGCATTTTTTCTGTAATTGTTCATAAATGATTCAACATCACAAGAAGTCTACTATTTCTTTCTTAAAGGTGCAATAGAACTTTAAGTTCAAATAGATAAACAAAGAAAACAGCATTATTAAATTTTAAACAGATGAAGATGTTTGTAAGCATCTGAAAAGAAGAGACCAATAGTCACCCCGAAAGCACCTCCATAATAGAACATCTAGAAAAAGCCAAACATTATAGGAGGGTTTTGCACTTATAAAGTTGCAGCTGTGTTAGACATGAAAGAAATAGATGTGGAAAATGGCATGACAACTTACCGCAATCATGACGCTATCATGGAATATCAATGGAGATAGGAAAACCCAAAAGATGTCATAGAGAAAAGCACAACATAGAAGTACTGTAGCAACCTATAAGAAAACAACAATTATCGCATGATAAAACAAAATCATAACAATGTAAAAACCAAGTTTCGCTATTGGCATACCTTAATGTTTGGTAATTGAGCCAATTGAAGGACAGTAATCATCAAACAGATACCCTGACAACATGAAAGCTGTCAGTGTTTGAAAAAATCCTCGTAAGAGGAAATTTACAAGGATTTATTCCAAATTGTTGAAACACTAAAGACTATCGTAAGCATTATATGTGTTGCCCGAGGAGCCTAATAAGGTTGCCCAATTGGCAAAACATATCAGCGTAGAATCAAAGGTAAAAAATAATGATAATAATAATAAAAAATTGATGATAATTCTGACAGATACATCGAGCAAATAGCATATCCATTAATGTCAAAATATTAAGAAAAGGGCCAACTTTGTTATTTTTCAAGCTTAAAGGATAAAACTTGAATTAATTTACAAGTTTATTAGGTTTTCTAAATGTCATTCTGATAAACCATTTCTTTGGACCCTCGCAGCCATAGTGGTTCTACTCCTCCATCTGGCCAATGTACGTGCACATTACACATTCCTACTATGTGCTTGATTCAAACAGAACAATAGTGTGAATATTTATATCATTAAGTAAAAATAGCAGTCTTTTGTGATAAGAAATGCATCGTTAAGAAAATACAATATGAAAGCAGGTGATAGCTTACAAGAATGTCTTGACCGACCCAGGAGTATGATGCCTTCCGGTTTGCAGCCCAGAAAATGGCAAAGGCCAAACAAAATAACAAGACAATTAAAGAGAGAATGGAAATCTCCCCCAGGATTGGCAGATTAACTCTTCTTCGTGCACAATTTTTGCATTTGCTGATCAAATAAAAGCATATGAACAACATACAACAGGAACAAAATGTTTTAAAAAAATAAAATGCCTCCTTTCTTGTCTACAACATAGATAGCTTTACAAACAAAATTAAAGGATACCTTGACAGCAGCGAAACTATACAAGTATGCATTCCCTGTTATAATTATAAAAATAATCAGTAAGGACTATCATAAATCAAACTGTTCCAAAACTATTGATGTGCATAAGATTGAGAGAATAAACAATGTATAAGGAATTTATAAGACTGCAAACTTGATCATATTCTAAGATCATTACAGAAGAGTGGATGTACTAAAGAACGAAAGCAAACTACCCACTGATGGTATATTTAAGAGCAAGTGAGCTAACATCACATTTTTGGAATAAAATCCAATTAGATCCACAAGTATCCAACTGTAGTTGACCCTAGGTGTTCACTCTCACCCATGTAGCTAGAAATATTTTTTCTATGAATGAGAAGATATTAGAATTAGTAACAAGCCAGATCACACGAAATCAGAAACCATTTTAATAGCACTATCATTCATTCTATAATGATTAAACATATTTAGATATTGAGTTAATGAAAAAATACTTGCTTGGGAACTTTTGAAGAAGAAAATATCATGTCCTGTTGTTAAATTCTCATAGACACTCTGTGGGCTTTTAAATATTTGATCTCAAAATTAAGAACTAGGAAAATGATGAAGCCCTTGACGTGTGTGGCTAGGCCAATCAATAAAAATGAGTTATGAGGACTCTTTGCGGCTGAAAGAATAGAAGGCTGTACTAGAGGCTGCTCAAGAGTTGAAGTAATCAAGCTTTGGCCCAAGCAGGCAGTCAATAAAAGAAATAAAGTCCGCAAACTTCCTACAGATAAAGAGCAAGCTGCAATAGTCAACTGTCTTTGTCTTACCATCTATGAAATTTAAACGGCAGCTATTACACACATCATAACACCCTTCCAATCCGTGCCATTGCAAAGTCCCAAAGGCTTCTTTTTGGCACTTAGTAGTATGTTTATCATTTTACAACACTTTCTACAAAATAGAATGGCACACCGCACATGCACACTTGATATGCAGATATATAGATGCAGGGAGAAATTTTATATATGACTTCTCATGTTTAATAAAATAAAATTAGTGAAAGCACATGAGAGAAGGCAGTCTTGCAACCTGAGAACCTAATTGAAACAGGTCTTATCAAGATTGCTTGAAATGCAGATATACAGATGCAGGGTCCAAGTTAATATATGACTTATCAATGCATTTTTTAATAAATGCACATTGGTGAAAGCAAATATTGTCTTCAATCACCACTTCAATCCCTAGTATCTGGTGACAGATTAAGAGTGTGACACTGGAAACATATTAAGCCCCTGTTTGTCTCCCATTATGGGAGAAAGAATAGAGTTTTGAATAGTATTTTTTGGAGAATGTGTGGTTAAAATTTAAAGAAACTTTATTGGTTTGTGTGTAGAATATTTTATTGTGTGAATGTGTGGTGAATAAATGATACTGTAGCAAATAATTTAATTTNAATGATACTGTAGCAAACAATTTAATTTTTAAAAGATGACACACACACCCTAATTTTGTCTCTGCCAGCTATCTATCTGAGCAAAAGAATGTAAAAGGCCATATCAGTCATTTTATTTTAGAGAAAGCAAAAGAAACATGGAAGGAACAACCCAACGATGATGATGACCATAACAATAGTATTAAGGAATAGAATCCTACATCGAATGAAGATATAAACATAAACCAACTTATAAAGGATTGAGTTACTCCTCTTAATAAGGTTGACATTTTAAGATGGAACTCCAATTCTTAACAAATAGCATTTACTAAAACAGCAATTTATGATTCTGCACAAAGAATAGCAATAGTTACAATCAAATCAAGTTTAGCCAAAAAGACTTCTTGGACGAAAATGGGACACCTCACATGCAAAATCATCTTAATATTTTCACGTTTAATACGCTGCTTCTAACTGTAAATCACCTGATATGGATAAGACAAATTCCATGCACTCAGATAACAAAGTCAATCATCAAGAAATCAGTTAACATCCCTGAAGTGTTTTCTTCCAGTGTATAAATTGTAAGTATTGAACCATCATTCCACACCAATTTCATTTAACATATTTTAAAGCACTAACTGGAAATGAATGGGAACTAAGCTAATATATTTTAAAGGACAAACTGGAATTGACATGGAAATATGATTATATGAACTCCAAAAAAGTGGTGTGCAAGGAGGGAAAATACGAGGAAGTTAAAAACATTAACCAGTACTTGGAGTATTACCATTTCCCTAGTCTTTCCTTTGAGCATGCATTGAAAGTTCTCTATATAACTAAACTAATTTTGTTTATTTTTCTCTTTCTTTGTCCTTTTATATCCTAGCAGAAGGTCTGCATCTTCTCAAATCTCAACTTGGTCAATCATCAAGCAAAGTTGAAGTGACATGACGGTTTTACACCAACTGGCCACTAGTACATTATCATTATCTATATTACCATTAAATTAAAAAAAAAAAGAGAGAAAATAGTCAACGTGAATAATTACCTCTACCCCTGCGATACAGAAAAGAACAATCAGCAGCCAGACAAACCAAGATGACATAAATAGATAAAGTAGCACCAGAAAAGTGGATGCTGTTATAACAAATATTATAGCGCTTTTCGAGCTAATTTTGAGGATTTCCTTCTCATCTTCATCCTGGGTAAAATGAAGAAAAGAAAATTAGTCATCTATTGTCCATCAAGTAGTATGGAAAATGCATCTCGAATCTATCATACAAGATACTAACCATTAAAATCAAAAGGAACCACATAAGCCAGAGAAAAAAATGTAATAACCAGTTATTTCTCCTAAATTAAGAGGAAAATTTGTACATAGAAGTCAGCCTTCCATCCTTTAAAAAAAATATTGACAGGATATTTTCATTCAATAACTGTTTAGTTACAGCTTGTGCTTAAAGTCATGTCAAGTTTGTGTGAAACCAAGCAATCATATCAAAAGGTTGTATGTCAAATCTTGAGACAGCTCTAAGAAGCTCCAATAAAAGGACATATTTCAGATCCTCTTCTACTGGAACAACATGAAATAACAGAAATGAGTATAACAGAATAAAGAATGTGATATGACTACTTGGTTGGCAGTTATAACAACAGCTGATAATTGAAAGTTTTGCAAAAGATCGAGAGTTGTATACATACAATCAGAGGTTTTCAGGTAAGTAACTATTTAATCGTATAAAGCAACACAATGCAAAGGTTAAAAGTTCAATGAAGACGACTTTGACTAGTAATAGGCAGGGAATATTAATTTCTTATGCTGTTCAACAAGCTGATTCTGTAGGAGTAATGCCATGGTAAGGAGTGCAATATGAAGTTAATACATATACAGCAGGTGATATCTAGAGAGTTGAACCGTATAATGTATGAGCCTAAAGAAATGGACCAAATGGTTTAGTATGTGGAACCTTTGGTGACAATTCATCATAACGCTCATCACTTTGACCCAATCCAGTGAATTCTGACCAAAGTGTTGCACACACGATTGTCCCAACCGCCATCAACCACAAGAATATCACTGAGTAGTCTACAACAGGACGATTCGGAGAATATAACAGAAGTTCAACTACACAGAAAAACTTGAAGTCAGTCATAACAGAATTTTTTGATACACTGATCTGCACATGACAAGAATAAAACAGTTAGCACATGTTTATGCTTGATATCTTACAACACAGATCAAAGTGATCACAAGTCTTATTCTTATTTAATAAAGAATTTGTTCAAGGTACTCTTCATGGCCAAATCTCTCACTGATGTTCCATGATGAACACTACATAGGCAATGATCTCAAGATTTTTATTTTGCAAGTCCACTAGGAACAATTCAAAGAGCGCCTAATTCTTTAATTTGCCATGGTTTGCTCAGGTTCTCTCTCTCTCTCAGCATATACATCTCAGAAATATTGGCATTAAAACAATTAGAGACATCACTTCAATTTCAATTAATATAAAGAAGGTGCGAAATTGGAGACCTAATATTCTTCAATTGACGTTAAATGGTAGACGCATTCTTACGGTGATAATATGCCTAATTCTATATCACTATATGTATGTAATAATGCATGGAGACATAGTTTCTGTCAATAGAGTACTTTATTATTAGTATCCTAATATAATAAGATAAAATAAATGGCATAATGCCGTTCAAATACATTTTCATTGCTGAAGAACAATTTAACGTTCTCCAAATTAGTATCAAAAATGGATATAAAGAAAAGCTTGTTTGGCACAGATTTTTCCAACTGAAAAATGATTTTTTTGGAGAACGTACGGTTAAAAAGTCGGGAAAAGTTGTAGGTCTCATAAAATGCATGATTGAAAATGATTTTAAAAGAATCTGTACCAAAGAAGGCTAAAATTGAAGAAAGAGATACTGGACATATAAGGAAAACAAAACTTCCAAAAATTGTTGAGCAAACACCTGAAGTACAGTGGATAATACACAGAATGAATCAAAGGGAGGAGATGGGGCATATAGTAACACCTGAAGCAGAGCTGTCTTGATGACATTGCAAGGCAACCCAAAATTGTTTGTGTATTTCAGACCATAGTTTAAATATATATATATATACATATTTCAACTGTGATTGTGTATATGTGAGCAAATGTGTCTGTGTAAATCCCATTCCACGTTACTCATGCCCGCATTTTCACTTCACCTTCCTTGAATTGACAGATTTTTCTGCCGGTAATACACAAAAAAACAGCTCTCAAGGTCTCAGCGCTTCAATGAATCACTTTGAGTCCTGATGCATTTTCAGTCTCTCCCTATGCGACCATATCTTTACATGTATATGTATGGATGTTTGAAAACCAAAAAAATAATACAGTAACTGTTACCACTCTATCAATCTACAGATATATACCTATATACCGCTACATTTATACATGCATCAAAGTACCGCCAAACATAATAAAGTTATTTACAACCATATTTTACTCAATAGTATCAGAATAAATGATGGAGCAGTTCATGCAATTATGCATTCACAGATGCAAAAATTAAGTATTAACTTGAATCTACAAGGCTTCTAAATATGGATCATCCCATGCTGCTCAATCAACGCCCGCATACAAAATTAGATAAGAGGGTATACCTTTCTCTCCACCAGCCATTGATTTGTTTATTTCCTCTCCTCCTGACTTGGAGACCATCACAACAGGAATTGTAATGTTCAAAGTAGTTTCATTTTCAGGACAACCCATCTCCACAAGATCTATACAAGTTCACAGGGAAGCAGGCACAGATGCAAAGATCAAAGTTAAGTGCAAGTACTGAGACAGAAATTATAGATGAACAGATAAACCAATTAAAAAGATTTTCAGTAAGCAAGCTAACAGAGTGAAAGCTAACAACCTTCATCATCATTTATCACCAGCAATCCTGACGCTCCTCCAGCTTGTGCAGCTTTAGCCTTAGTTACAAAATCACAGTCACCACGTATTGCCAATGCAATAGAGCCAGATAACTGCCGAAGAATAAAGGAGATCATTTGCATTGTTACTCGAAAATCTTAAAATTAAAATAGAAGAATTAACTTTGATGACTTCCAAATAACAAAGGGAAGTGTTTGCCCTAACATTCATTCAATATTTTTGCTGTTAAAAGGCTTAAAATGAAAAGCATATTACAAAAATCTGCCAAGTCTTTAAAGCACTCTCAATACCAAGAAAAGCATAAGTACTCATAACCTAAAAGAGGAGATACTTTGCTCCTAATTATTTTACACTCACCAGGACAGTTTTGAAATCATGTCACCCAAGATGACAAGAAGGAGCCATAAGAGAGGAAATGTGTAGAACTATATGTTTTCTTCATTATTCAATCTGCTGAGAGTTCAAGGAATGTCAAACTCAAGGGTATTGAACCTCTATTTTAAGGAACTATAGTAGAAGTGGAGTAAGTGATGCAGGAAAAATTTATAATTTTTAAGGAAAAGGAGATAATGTTCACATGACAAAAATCCAGTGCTTTTAGCACTCGGTGTTTTAAATATGTTTTCCTAGTTAACTTAGTAATTATTAACTTACTTTGTTTCCTATTTGTTTTCAGATTTTATTTATAAATTTGCCTCAGCATCTTCTACTAGGGTTTAGATTTAGAGTTCTATTTTGACTAAGATTTCCAGATATTGGGGTTGGGAATTTCTAGATATCGCTTCTCCTGGAGTATATTGAGGCTTTATCCATCAAATTTAGTACGCTATCATCAGCAGAGGCTTTCTCAATTCTAATTTAAATCACCCCCTATTTGTCACTTCATCCACCCATTCTTTCCCTGCAGCAAGAATTCATCTCTTGCCCATCGAGAACAGATCAGATACAATATCTAGAACTTCATGGACATCATTAGCAAGGATACATAACAAAGGCAAGAAATGATTAATGTTTTTGTATTCTGGAAAACAGTTAAAAATAGTCCTTCCAAAATAGACACTATAAACCTACACATATGTTCAGCTGCTGAAATCAATTTTCTTCTGAGCCCAAAGTCAAGTAAAATATTCAAGGTGGGTATGGGAGTTAACAATACTTCATGCAAGAAACTGTATCAACTTTTAAAAGAAACTCCCAAAATTTACAGCAAGTAAAGTGAGGAAAATTTGCGGCGTGTAGAATTTACCTTCGAAGATGAAGTTGAACAGCCATTTAAAGGATTCAAAAAAGTAGCTGGTAATATGTGACCTTCTTTCGGGTTTGTGGGCAATATCTGGCCAAATGCTGCACTCAACCCACTTATTGATTTCCCTTCATCTCCATTCGCCCAGCTCTTGACCTTGACCTGGGATAAAAGATATAAGATCGCTCGTGTTATTATCTCCCAAACGCTAAATCAGACGAAAAAAAATAAAAGATAAATCTGTTTTGGGATTTTTCAGTCCCTTAAAGAAAGAATAGGATGTTATTGAGGTCTAATTTCCTTTCCCAAACAACATAACTGGAAATGTTCCGTTCTAACCAGTCTTGCTCCATTTCAAAGATCTTAAATCAAGAAATGATTTGAACTGAATTACATGGTATAACATAGGTACATTGAACCTCTGCAGTTCAAAACCCGTACCTTTCTCTTACAATATCAATTTCCAACGAATTATCATCTTATTTTCCGAATTCAACCACAACAAATTAATCTAACTACAAACATATATGAGTTTTTCTATACTTTAAAAATTCAGACAAAAACAAACGTAATACTGGCATCGTAAATCATAAAAGCAGAATATTACCAATCGATAGGGGTTGCTGCAGTAACTAGAAGAACCACTTGGCGCAGAGCGTGAAACGTCATCCCCGGCGGCAATTGGTGATTGGGAAACAAGTAATAATCCCAACTGAAACATCACTACTAATCCCAGAGAAAATTGATATGAAGATGAAGCCATGCCTAATGATTGATATGCTGAAACTAATCAACCAAATCCCCTTTCCTTACGGTTGATTTTAGTTCATCGCTGGATGTAGGAATGATCAACTACTACGCGTATAATCACAAAAAAATCTATAATGGGAATTGGGAAGTAAGCTGTGATCAGATTTGAGGACAAATGGGAACGGGGAGGAGAGACTGCACGTTGTGATTCCTTGGTTCAAGTAAGTGGTTATTATTAGAGGATTAAAAACTTGAATACTACTCAAAACTTTTGTAGGTGTTCTATATCCATCTTCAAACTACGAAAACATTCCAAATCGATCCTCATAATTTAATATAAATTTTCTATCTGTTCATTGTGTTGACAAAAGGATGTCTTTAGAAATAAATATTGAAATACGATGATGAAATTGGAACTTTTTGATTTTAACTATGGATCCGAAACAAGTGCAAAAGTTCAAAATCTGAGTGAATATATCTAGAGCTTGTTTGGGAGGGATTAAAATCAGATTAAAATTGAAAATATACTCGTTGGAGTTGACTTTTATTAGACGAGTGAGACCCAATAACGACTATATTTTCAATTTTAATTGAATTTTAATCATTACCAAACAAGCTCCTAATCAAGAGTTAACATCAAGAAAACATCTTGCCCCTGTTTTGTGAGGATTAAAATCCTTGTTTTGAGAGAAGATTTTAATCAGAGTTAAAGTTAATAATTAATTTTAATCACGTGTTTTATATGACTCACAACTTTTTAGCCACGTATATTATCAAAATTTACTAAAAATCTGATTTAATCTATGTCAAACTGGAGCCAAATGTGATATTTATATTTTTCACATCAAAATA